CAGGCCCACTGGTCTACTTCCTGTCTTTCCGAATCTGACACCATGGCCATGTTGGGGAGGGGCACACGCCGGCCAGGCCCTCCTGTCGTAGCCCGCATGGGGGCTCCGGGCCTCGCTAGAGCTGGGCAGTACTCCATTGTGTGGCTGAGCCTGGAACTGAGGGAACTGGGTGCCAGGCCTCCCCAGCCCACAGAAACGTCCTCTTCCAGGCTCCCCGGGAGCCGAAGCTGTGCTTCTGTGAAACCTCAGCCTGAGACCGTGGGTGTGTCCTCTGTCCCGAGCCTGCGAGTGCTCTTCCTGGGAACTAGCGGGCCCAGGAAGCGTCCGGACTTGCCCCTCGCCACCAGAGCCCCCTGTCCTTGCCCTGCACTCCCGAAGTGACTCTCGATCTCTTCAAAGCCTTATGACCCATCTTGGTGCCCATGACTCCCCAGGGCCTGGGTGAGGCTCTTCGTCACCCAGTTACCCAGGTGTCTGCCTTCTGGGTTCTGCTCTGGCTGCCTCGTTGGGAGGCTTGAACGCCCACCTTCCTCACAGCGGGAGACTCTGAGGGGCTCCAGGTACCGAGGCCGAGTCTCCCAATGCCCGTCACGATTTTAGCCAGAACACCAGCCTTAAGCACTGTCCGTATTTATACTCGGCCTTGTTTTCGTAGTGCACGCCAGCGTCAGCTCGTCTCCTCTACCTGAATGACCATATTTCAAAGGCAGACTATGTCACGGCTGGAGATGAAGGACCCGCCTCGTGAGCCGTAAATAGAAGGCAGTCATAAAAATAAGTGCAATTAACTCTTGGCCTGGGGCCCACTTCTCTCCGCGCCGGCGGAGCAGAGAGGTCCTAAAAGGCTGTCCCCACCCCTGACTGTCCCCGGAGAGCTTTCCTCTTCATCCCTTTTCCGTGAGCGGAGGATGCACTTGCAATTAGAATACAGGTCATGCCTTGAAGCTCAGCAAACTGCATGCCCCGACTGCTTACCCTAGGTGGGTTCCCTTGCGTGGTCTTGTGAGTTACTCGGCGTGCGCCTTACGGGGACGTGCTGGGCCCCAGACAGTGCTGCTCACTCTGGCCTTCGAGGCCTCTGTCACAAGTCTCAGCCAGCGTGTCAGTGCATCCTCACAGCGGGACACTCTCCCTCTGTCTCACAGGAGAAATATGTAAGCTTAAAAACGAAAAGTCAACCTGGTTCCATGCCCTGGTAAATAAGACAGCCAGATCCCACGTGGCCGAGGTCATGGTTCAAGTCCTGGACCCAGCAGCTTGAGAAACAAGCCAGGCACATGTGTGTGCATGCCACAGATCCCGAAAGGATCACATTCTAACTTCCCTGACAACCCAGCCAATGCCCAAGACCTAGGACAGCAGGTCTCCCTGGAGGACGGTGCCCTGCTATACATTTGCACACGGGCACAAGGACATTGATCATGTGTTGTCTGTAACAGACACAGCTGGTCAGGTAAAGTCTGGCCCTTCCTGAAACGAACTATCATCCAGCCGTGACACTGAGTTCTGTCTCTGTCCACTGATCTGGAACGTTCTCTAAGGAGCATGGCAAAGTGGGAAGGCGAAGCCCGCATGGTCTATGTGGCCGCCCCATTGGGGGTTAAAGAAGTGAAGGGGTGCCCGGGCGTGGCTGGGGCTCGAGGACACGGCGCTAAATGAAACCAGCCGGGAGCACACACGGCGTGGTCTCGTCCCACGCGGTCCCAAGGACAGTCGCACTCGGAGACAGGCTGAGGGTGGAGTTGCCAGGCTGTGGGCGTGGGTGGCACGTGAAGGTGCTGGGCTGGGTAGGGGTGCGGCGTGCACAGCGAGGGCCATGTCCTTGCAGCTAACCTGCACACTCAGGGATGCGAGGGCCACGACGTGAGTCTGACTGCAGTCGAAAGAACAGATAAACAAAGAAATGTGTTTGTCAGTGCGTAGATCTCTGGAAAGCTACGAGGGGAGGGGCTCTGAGAAACTGGGGTTCAGGCGTGGTGGCTCGGTGATGTTAGAATTTTTTAAATTATGTATTTATTTTATTTGTATTATTATTTAAGTTTTGCTGTAGGACACCTATGCTCACCAGAGAGAGAAGGAAAGTGAGAAAGCAAGCTGCCAAGTCCAGGACTAGAACCACAGTTGGCCATGTGGGAGTCCAGCACCCCCCACCATGCCACCTACTGGTCCCATGATGTTTGAATTTTTGTTATTGCAGGCGTGTGTTGCATTTTAAAATATCCCTTTTAAATGTTGAAAAAGGTTTAAAATTACAATAGCCAAATGCACTTTGGAAATATACATTATAAATAGATTACATATGCTTACGTGTGATTTGTAGTATATATTTATCTGAATATAGAAACAAGCCAGGCACATGTGTGTGCATGCCACAGATCCCGAAAGGATCACATTCTAACTTCCCTGACAACCCAGCCAATGCCCAAGACCTAGGACAGCAGGTCTCCCTGGAGGACGGTGCCCTGCTATACATTTGCACACGGGCACAAGGACATTGATCATGTGTTGTCTGTAACAGACACAGCTGGTCAGGTAAAGTCTGGCCCTTCCTGAAACGAACTATCATCCAGCCGTGACACTGAGTTCTGTCTCTGTCCACTGATCTGGAACGTTCTCTAAGGAGCATGGCAAAGTGGGAAGGCGAAGCCCGCATGGTCTATGTGGCCGCCCCATTGGGGGTTAAAGAAGTGAAGGGGTGCCCGGGCGTGGCTGGGGCTCGAGGACACGGCGCTAAATGAAACCAGCCGGGAGCACACACGGCGTGGTCTCGTCCCACGCGGTCCCAAGGACAGTCGCACTCGGAGACAGGCTGAGGGTGGAGTTGCCAGGCTGTGGGCGTGGGTGGCACGTGAAGGTGCTGGGCTGGGTAGGGGTGCGGCGTGCACAGCGAGGGCCATGTCCTTGCAGCTAACCTGCACACTCAGGGATGCGAGGGCCACGACGTGAGTCTGACTGCAGTCGAAAGAACAGATAAACAAAGAAATGTGTTTGTCAGTGCGTAGATCTCTGGAAAGCTACGAGGGGAGGGGCTCTGAGAAACTGGGGTTCAGGCGTGGTGGCTCGGTGATGTTAGAATTTTTTAAATTATGTATTTATTTTATTTGTATTATTATTTAAGTTTTGCTGTAGGACACCTATGCTCACCAGAGAGAGAAGGAAAGTGAGAAAGCAAGCTGCCAAGTCCAGGACTAGAACCACAGTTGGCCATGTGGGAGTCCAGCACCCCCCACCATGCCACCTACTGGTCCCATGATGTTTGAATTTTTGTTATTGCAGGCGTGTGTTGCATTTTAAAATATCCCTTTTAAATGTTGAAAAAGGTTTAAAATTACAATAGCCAAATGCACTTTGGAAATATACATTATAAATAGATTACATATGCTTACGTGTGATTTGTAGTATATATTTATCTGAATATATTGTGTTTTTATAAATATATAATCTATGTTATAAAAATACATTTAGCAGTATAGATTTAGCAATCTGTGACCTACTTTGCAAGACTAGAATCCTGCTCTGTGATGGTTAAAAGGATTATTAGCTACAGGGCGAGATGGGATTGGGGTTTGTATTTTTCCACTATTACATAAGCAAATAAAACTGCCAAAGCACCATCTTTATTTAAATATTCCTTAATGATGTGAGAGACCTTTCCTCTGTATCTTCGGTGGTTTGTTTCGTTTTGTTTTTGTTTTTGTTTTCTTTCTTTTCTTCTTTTTATTTTATTTATTTATTTATTTATTGCTTCTCTCTTTCTTTTATGAAAAACAATTGTGATGTTTATGGAAAGAGCACTTGGCGAATGTTAAACAGGAAGCTACGCCGGAGTGGGGAGGGGAACGGATCTCTTACATAAGCTGATCCGAAGGCACAGGGTCCCACGCTGAAGCGTGGCTGCCCCAGCACGGGACCTCCTGTTTCTGGGCCTGCTTCCCTCCCCAGCCAGCATCCCTCGTCCTGACCAAGTCCCCCGTGGGCCGCCTCCCTGAGAGCCCAGACTGGCAGGTCCTGCCCATCCATGGGGGTGCAGAGGTCACCAGAAGTGGGGACAGTGGAGCGGAGGGCCTGGAGACCCGGCGCTTCAGTGGTTGCTCTTCATTCCCCCAGGGCCAAACTCGCAGACGGCAGGCTGCAAAGGGAGCGAGGTTTCTCTGTGGCGGGGCCCCATCATCCACGCTGTGTCTGCACAAGTGCTCCAGTGGGGGTCGTGTTTGCAGCGCGTGCTGGGAGCCGGGGCGTCAGTGGCCAGATAAGCCATCTGAGCAGGTGTCCCAGGGAGTCACTGCGGTGACATCGTGGCCTGCCCAGTGGCTCTGGCCATATACTGGGGAAGGCAGGGCCGGCGGGGCAGGATGGTTATGACGACAGAGGCTCTGCCAGCTCCGGGGGCTGGAGTCCAGCGCTCAGCCACCATGGATGTGGCGTCGAGGGAGGGCCCCCTCACAGACCACCGTCCTCCCACCCTGGCCTCACGCGGAGGCCCAGCTCTCAAGCTCCCTGTTCCAGGGCACTAGCTCCATCCAGGAGGGCCCTACCCTCCTGACCTGTCGCCTCCCCACGCTCACCCCCTACCACCATCACCTGAAATTTAGGAGGGAGCAGGTGCTCAGGCCACAGCACGTGACATTATTTCAGACAGGTCACACGGAAGAGAGTGGTCTGGGAGCTTCGTTCCTTCGCATCCTCTGGCGGGTCGTGGGGGAGCAGCTTCGATCCTGGGCTTTCTCCTGCACCGAGGTCTGACGAGCCTGTTCACGAGGTTTGCTGTGTATCTGCAAGGGGACCTCGTATTCAACTGATGTAACCATAACAGATTCTCCCCAAAAGAGGTGTTAGGAAAAGGAGTCCCTTCGCAGAGAAGGCACGAGTACCAGCAGGACAAATGGGGCTAAGTCCAGCAAACCCTCATGCCGGGGGCGCGCATTCCAAACCTGAAGTCTGGAGACCGGAGATAAACGTTGGCACTAACCGAGCATCAGCCACAGCCCCGACCCCCAAGGACAGTCCCGCCGGCCCAGGCTGCGCGAAGCCTGCTGTAGTAACTGAGCTGTGCTACCTCGTTCGGCCCTGGAACGACCGTGGGGTACTTTATCCCATTTTAAAGATGAAGGGTCCAGAGCATCCGAAAATGAAGGTCAAAAAGGAGCGATGGATGACTTTAAAGTCCCCTCCCCAAAACACGCACATACACATACGTGTGTGTGTTCTTCATTCATTGATAGATAGGTGGGGCTTTGCTGTGAGTTTCTACGGTTTACTAAGTTCAAGCCTAGCCTCAGTCTGAGAACTAAATATTTGTATCTCCCCACATTCATGTTTTGAAACCCTAAAGTCCCAGGTCATGGTATTAGGAGGAGGGGCCTTTGGGAGACCATTAGACCTGAGGTGCGCCCTCGTGGGAGGGGTCAATTCCTGTAAATGTGGCCAGAGAGACCTCTCCCTCCCTCCGTGCCGAGACAGAGCAAGATGGTACCATCTGTAAACTGAGAGCCAGGCCCCAGCACACCCCACACCTGGCTTGATGGAGGACTCAGCCTCCAGAAGGCAGGTGCCTTTCTGTTGTCTGCAGGCCCCTTACTTTACGGTGTTCTGTACAGCTGCTTGAGCTGAGACCCCTGGAGCACGGAGGGTGGCGGGCGGGAGGTCGGGGGTCGTGCTCGCCAGCCCGTGGTCTGCCTGTCCACCATGCATAGTCCCTGCTGCTTTAGGACACGGGTGGCAGGGCTCCAGCCTGGGGCTGCCTCGCTGTGCCATTACGGCTGGATGGCAGGGAGGCGCCGCAGCCTCACGGCGGACCACGGTCCAGTCCCAGCCTGGGGCGAGGCTCTGCCGTAGGTACCGGCCCACCGGGTCAGCTCTCCGTGGAGTTCCAGCTGGACGCTTCCGGCACCAAGCCTGCCACTCACCTCCCATTCCGGACCCTTAGGCATTGGGCTCCGGAGTGCCTGGCCCGGGCGACGGCTGCCAGCATTCGTGCCTTTCTGTCTCCGTACCCTTCTCAGCTCGGCCAGCGCTGGGAGACGCAGTGCATGGATGACCGAGCGACGGCCTGACGTGTGCGTGGTGCCGAGGAGGTGGGTGCCTGGAGCTCTCCCGGCCCCCAGGGTGGACCCGCGGCTAAGGGCTGGCAGTTACCCTGTGCAGTCCCACTCAGACGGAACTTTCCAGCAGCTAGGCTGACAGTAAAGGAGCCGTCTTCCTCAAGAGGCACTCATGGGAGCAGAAGGTCACCTTCAAAGTCCCCCCACAGCAGAAGCTCTTGGACTTCCTGGTTCCCTCTGCTTTTGATCATTTAGCTTCAGGGTCCTGGCCCTCCCATTGTCATCTCCAAGGACGGAGAGGCCTCGGCCCATCACGGGGAGAAACCGAGGCCCCCTTGCAGCCATCCTGGCCCTGCAGTGCACTGAGTCCTTTTTCGATCTTCTTCCTCTCTGCTCTCCCTCTCCCCTTCCTCTTCTCCCCACTCCCCTGCTCAAATTAAACAAACAGACCTCTACCCTCCCTGGAGCTGCATGTCGCTTCTTCAGGTTCCCAAGGCAAGCCCATGAGGGGCAGGGACAGCCCCGTCAGCAGAGCACGGGTAGACACCTTCCCACGTCACAGCCCTCCTGAACCAGCTGGAGTTCTTGCCTCGTGCATCTGACCTGTCTGGAACCTGGCTGAGCCCACGGCGTTCTGGTCCTGCTTCAGGGGCTGTGTCCCGAGGCAGGAGCTTACTCTATGCAAGGCTGGCACCTGCTTCCTAAGACCATCCCGAGGACCATGCGAGCTCAGCACCGTGAATATCCCCCCATGGCACGTGGCTCTCACCCTTCCCCTCTCAGCCTCGGAACAAGGTGGGCGACGGGAGGCCTCGCAGGTGGCCAGTGCTCTCTCCGTGCTGCGCCAGGGATCCCGAGGCTGTCCCTTCTCTTCCAGTGCGATGCCTCACCTGCGGGAATGAGGAAGAGCTGGCTGTTGGTAGCCTGGCTTCCCTTCTCCAGCTCCCCTAGCAAGGGTTCCTTCTCGACCCCTAAGATAAGCCTCGCTGTCAGGACCAGCAGGTGGCATGGTGGTTAAGGCACTGGATTCCCACATGGCTGGCTGTGGTTCAAGTCTTGGGCCCGGTGGCTTGAAAATCACACCAGGCATGTGTGCATGCATGTCCAAAATCATCCTAGTAAGAGAATGGAGGAGAAGAGGTTGTAGCGTGGTCACCATTCCTGGGGGTGGGGTTGTTTTCTCAGTTTCCCTCTCTATTTCTCTCTGGCAGTACATACGCCCTATACCAAAGTCCTTAAAAAAAAAAAAAAAAACAAGCTTGCTTTATTCCCCAGTTCAGGAAACAAGAGTCAGGCCAAGTGAGAAGCTTCCCTCCCCTGCCAGAGGCTCTGCAGTATCCTTAGGGGCCATCGAATGGGGGTCGCCCGTTGCAGGGCCCGTCCTGCAGAAGCACAGGCTCGGAGAGAGGCCAGGCCGGGGTCCATTCAGTGCCGTCTCCCAAGCTCGCTCAGTGCTGGGCCTGGGGCCGCACATGCAGCCATTGGGTTTGTCTGTGACTGAGCCCTGCCGTGTCCGCCTGTCCCCCACCACACACAGGAACGAGAGCTCCACGGGAAGCCCGGCTTGGCCCCCAGCCGCTCCGAACCCACTCTGCACCTCAGGCAAGAGATCTTAAGTTCTTGGGGAGAAACACCTGTGTACTCTGCAGGGGAAGGGAGCCGGGACCTCCGCCCCGCCGAGGAGCCTGAGCCCAAAATCAAATCCAGCCAGCGCAGAGACAGCGCGGGGACAGCCATGGGTGCCGGGCAGTGCTGGAGTACCGAGGCCCGGGGACAGCAGCCGCTTTCAGCGAGCACGCGGCGTTCCCTTTCCAGTGTGAGCCCGGGTGGCTCAGTTCCCCGCAGCCTTCCGCAGGGGCGTACCCCGCATTCACTCCAAGCTGAAACTGCAGTCTTTAAGCTGATTTCTCAAAGAGTACGATCCATTGCCACATCTCTACTCTCTGTTCAAGCAGCTTCCAAGAATGGCTTCTAAACGAGAGGTCCCGTGGGCTGCCTCCGCTCAACTGCTCCGGCTTCAGTGTCTGACTTGGAAACTCCCCGACTCTCTGGTCTCTGAGGCTGCCCTCTTGCTGCTGCTGCATTTGTTCCACATTCAGGGGGTCTCCGTGCCTGAGCCCCTCCCCCAGAACAAGATAAAAACAACTCAGTTCTCATCCCCGGCTGCACTCGGGCGGTGATCCAGGCCACCACAGACCAACTGACTCTGCAAGTGAGAGGGGAAGGTGGTTTGTAAAGAGCACTGGAGGGGGACCAGGAGATGGCAGAATGATCGTGTGGACTCCCACGTAGTTGACCATGGTTCGAGTCTCAGACCCAGCGGCTTCAAACTCACGCAGGGTGCATGTGCATGCATGTCCAAGATCCCGAGAGCAGAATGGAAGAGAAGGGATTGTGGCATGACCACTCCCACCCTGGGGAGTGATTTCTTGCTTTTTGTCTTTGTCTCTCCTGCAAGCACACATGCCCTATAGCAAAACTCTCTCTTTAAAAAAAAAAAAGAAAAAAGAAAAAGCGTTGGATTTTGTTTGTTTGTTTGTTTTTGGGGTGTTTGTTTTGGTCTTTATTTGCCTGCAGGCGTGTGAGCTTTTCAGAGACAGAGAGATAGGGAGGGGTGCCCTGCAGTGGGCGTCGTCACGCCGCAGTCCCTCCTCCTCGCTCCATTCTCCATCCTGTCAGGATGCTGGGCACACGCGCACACAACCGGTGTGTTTTCATGGCGCCAGGGTCAGGACTCTAGCCGTGCTGTCGGCCTCGTGGGCTCCAGCTGCCTGGAGCACTAGACCGTGGGTCCGCCTAGCATGGGAGTTTTCAACCTCCCATTGCTCTGTCGTGCAGCCAGGTCGGGGACCCCGAGTAGGGGGGTGAGGACTTTGAGTGCAGGTTCTTCCAGAATGAGCCTGATGGGCCCCCACTGCGAAGAGCCGTGCGGCAGGGACGGGGAAGCCTTCTCAGCCCCAGGGACGCCCTGCCTGCTGGACATGTTCCTACAGACGAGAGCAGAGCAGCCCCCGCGAGTGCTCCGGCCAGGCCCTGCTGTGTCTCGAGCCCAGCAAATTGTCCTGAGGGTGGGTATCGGGACCTCCTGTGGTCAGGAGCCCACTGTGCACCAGGGATCCCTCCTGCCTCTCCGGCCTGCGCCAGGCCACAGCTGGGCCTTGGTTACTGCCCGAGGAAGGGACAGATGGATGAAAGGGTCAATGTGGAGTAGAGAAAGCCTTCTGTGAAGTGAAAGCTTCCCTTTTCCCCCCCGGGCCTCCTAGTCTTAGCAGTTACTCCTACACAGAGACCTTCGACACGTCAATTACAGACATTACAGTAAATTACACTTCTGCATAGTTAATGCAGCCTCTTCATTATGCATTTAGCAGAGCTCGGCAGGCGTAAAGCTCATGAGCGGGCTCTGGAGCGGATCCAGCCCTGCCTCTGGTATCGCGAAACGTGACGTCTCCGTGGTGGACCTCAGAGCGTGTCTTTCTGGACGGTCTCCAGCAGACTGCTCTCACTCTTCTCTTGGAATGGGTTCAACCCTCTGGAAAGGCTGATAGCTTCAAAGGATGCTTCCGCCCTCCTCCCAGCTCCACAGAGATCCCATTCCTGTCTCGGGGAGAAATGAGTATTAACCTGCCCAGTGGGAAGAGACGAGAGCGTGAATACCAGGGACCTCGGCTGCTGGCGCAGCCCCTCATTCCTTACCCAGTCAACAAATATTTGCTGAGCGCTTCCTAGGGTCAGGGCTGGGATGTGCCAGGAGGGGACGACAGGCAGAGAGCTGTCGTCCTTGCTGTGTGGAGCTTGCATCTGAGCGTGGGGGGCCATGGCCAGACCATCAAATGTGTATGAATGAGTGACGTGCTCAGCCCACCCACAGGGTGTGGCCAAGACCCGGTGTTGCCCAGACTGGGACTTCACGGAGGACATGGGTTGGATTCGGTGTCTAACCTAAAGGCTGAGCACGGGGCCCACACCTGTGATCCCAGGACTTGAGTGTCTGAGGCAGGAAGACCCGAGCCAGGGGCTGGCCTGGCCCCACGGCAAGACTCTATCCTGGTACAGGGAGTCAGGCGCGGCACAGCCGTGGCCCCAGCAGGGCCTTGTCTTCATAAAGAAAATGGTCAAACAGATATAAATAAATGCAAAGCAACACGTAGGATGAGCGAATGGATCACGTGTCCATGTGGTCACATCAACACTAGGGCTGTATGGTCCCCAAGGAGCAGCGGTGGTTATCGGGGTGCGCGAGTGGCGGGCAGCAGGGTGCGTGCAGTGTCGGGTGAGCATGAACGCACGGGGTGGATGGACAGGTGGTGTGCTGAGTCACGCTTGGCCAGAGCATAAGGACTGGGACGTGCAGAGGAGGGGGTCAGCCACAGTGGGGAGTATCCTGATACCAGGATTCAGATGTTGAAATGTCACACGTCCCAGAGCTGGACTCAGAATGGTTGGTAAACACTGCTAGACTGTATTCTTCACTACCAAATGCTGTGGATGTATTTCCAACCTGCAAATCCCAGTGCACGAAAGCCCGTCTGCAACCGTGCACCTGCCGTTGCACCAAGTGTCCCCGAAGGTCCCCCGTCTACCTGGTGGAAAGCTTTGATCTGATCACTTCCAGGCTTGCTAAGGCATTCTAGGGAGAAACTCAGCTGATTCCATCTACTGAGTTCTGCTTAGCTCCACCTGAGACGGACACAGGTGGGCAGGGGCCACCATGCCAGTGGACTATGGGGAAGCGGTGGGTCTGTAGGTATCCGCTCTCATATGGTTTCTCGCACAAGCATGTACAATTCCGTCTTGTGCTGGGGCTTGACTGTGGTTTAATGCCAAGGTTCACTGAGGTTTCCAGCTCCTCCCTGGTCTCTAATCGTGTCATCTGTGCTGTTTCGCCACTCCACGGACGGCCCCTGTAAGAGGCTGAGAACCAGGCCGACGTCCGCCTCAGTTCTGTCTCTCAGGCACCTTCGGTAGCTTTTCCTGGGTCTCGGCAGATCTCATTGCCTTCCTGGCCTTGGGAGACTGGCAGGTGGGGTGTGTGCCTTCTCAGCGTCTCTCTCCTGGCAGTCTGAGCTAATTACTCTACTTCGGGAAATAAGCTAAAGAACTGTAGCAGTCAGAGCTTTGATCTGTTGCCGCATAAAACAGGATCCCAAGCTTATTGGTTCTAAGCAATGTTTATTATTTCTCACAAAAAAAGAAGAATTTACTGGACAATGATTTGGTTAGAGACACAGGGGTTTGTAAAATGCTCAGGAAGAGGCATATTATGGAAAACCGTGCATGCATTTTACAAATGTCTGCACAGAGCAGCCCAAACTTTACTTCCATTTCCCACTGACTTCTTGAAGTCCCCTTGTACGATGTTTGGTTCATCAGCTCGAGGCTGAGATGATCAGGAGCGCTCTGCCCTCATGGCGTCTTCATGCTGGGGCGAGTTCGGAGCGAGGCTCCAAGAGTAAGCGCGGCAAGTGCAGGCCCTAAGGCTTGGACTGTACGTCTGCTGGTCGGGGGGAATCACAGGGCCAGCCCACATTCAAGGAGACGAAGAAATAGACTCCGCCCTGGTGAGAGAGTGGTACAGCCAGGCCCCTGCAGAAGGGCATGCACCCTGGCGTGGGTAGAAATGGAGACTATCGTGTCATTTGCCAAAGATCCACCAGACAACCAGAAGACGCGTGGTCATCCCAGCAGGGAGGTTGGGGTAGGAACTCAGCTCAGAGCAGCCGCAGAGCTCGGCCCAGAGGGGGCTGCATGGACCCGGCCTCTCTCCTCCCCAGACCGTCTGTGCCCGTGTTTAGATTGGGCAGGTGTGGACACTGGGGCAGATGGCCTGGGCAGATACTCTTCCCAGATCTGTTTTGTTTATACTCAAACCACAGCTTACTTGATTTATTTACTCCTTCTCTGGAGAACCTACATTTTCTCCCTCTACTTAACCGTGCTGAGTTTCCCTCAGGGCAGCCTCACTAACTGCCAGGACTTGGCACACAAAGAAGGAAGTGCAGCCCGCCGCCGACGAGGCAAACTGGCCTGTTAATATTTCATGGCATCACATGCAGTCGTGCAATAGCGAGTGTCGGAGGCAGCGGGGCACACTGGGAGCCCCAGGCCGGAGCTCAAGGAGGATAGCCGTGTTTTCTTAATGGATTCATCTCTAAGGAAGGGCCCTGAGTGTGGCCACGAGAATGGGGGTTCGTAGTAGCCCCTGTGGAGAGGGGAAGAGAGGAACACAGAGGGATCCAGAGACGGGCGGAATGCAAGGGATGCAG